CCAGGCAGTGTTTAGCCAAGTGGCTGGTGCAGAGCAGTGGAGGAGCAAAGATTAGCTATTATAAGTGGTAAATTAAACATGCCATTCTTTAACCATGATAATACCTAATATTTCTACAGGGTCTTCTTGGTACTGGGCGTTGCTCTAAATGCTTTTTTATATCCTATCACATTACAGCCTCCCAAGAACCTTATGAGGCAGGTATTCTTTTTAATTTATTTTATTTTAGTTTAAGCAGAAGGACTGGGGATTGAACCCAGGCCCTTGTGCATGCTAAGCATGCGCTCTGCTACTGAGCTATACCCTCCCCCTCGGGTATTCTCATGGTCCCCATTTTACAGATGCAGCACTGAGCCCAGGGAGCCTAAGCTCCTAGCCCAGGAGCACGCTGTGGGCCGAGCTATGGCCCCCTCCAAACCCAGAGAGACTGTATTTAGAGACACGACTTGTTAGGAAGTAGGTAAGATTAAAGGAAGTCATATGGGTGGGGCCCTAACCTCACAGAATTAGCATCCTTATAGGAGGAGACACCCAGGAACTTGCTTTCCTTCTCTCTCTACCAAGTGAGGACACAGAGGAAGAACAGAGGGGTGAGGACTGCAAGCCAGGAAGAGAACTTTCATCAAAACCAGAATTGGTTAGGAGCTTGGTCTTGGACTTCCCGGCTCCCAGAACCATGAGAAAATAAATATCTCCTGTTGCAGCCTCCCAGCCCACGGCATGTTTTTGTTACAGCAGCCTGAGCTGACTAATACAGATCATCTGCTAGTAAGTGGGGGCCTCAGGACTTAACCCTCGGCATCCTGGCTCCAGAGCTCAAACTCTTAGCTTTATACTTTCTTACCTTTACTGTCTCCTCTGCCATAGAAGTTATTCTGTGGTTTGTTAAGTATTTGTATATAACGTAATATAACATAGAATATAAAATATTGATTGCGTGTCTGTCTTTGCAGTGTGAGAAATTAAAATCATAACTAGTCAAGGAAGGTAGCCAGATCTAAAGTGAGGAATAAAGAGTTGAAAAATCATCTGTAATCTTTGTAAAGATTTTGCCCAAGGGCTCGGCAGTAGTCAGATGAGAAAATGTGACTGGTGTTCATGTGGCCCCATTTGATTTAATAAGTCAATTCATTAATTTAAAATTTTTTATTGAATAACTTTAGCATGTGACACTGCATAAGTTTAAGGTGTAACAGGCGTTGCTTTGATCCATTTAC